CTTCCTTCCTTCCCTCCCTCCCTCCTTCTTCCTCTCCCCTTCCTCCCTTCCTTCCTTCCCTCCCTCCTTCTTCCTCTCTCTCTCCTTCCTTCCCTCCCTCCCTTCCTTCCTTCCTTCCCTCCTTCCTTCCCTACCTCCCTCCCTTCTTCTTCCTCTCCCCTTCCTTCCTTCCTTCCCTCCCTCCTTCTTCCTCTCTTCCTTCCTTCCCTCCCTCCTTCTTCCTCTCTCTCTCCTTCCTTCCCTCCTTCTTCCTCTCTCCTTCCTTGCCTCCTCCCTCCCTTCTTCCTCTCTCTCTCCTTCCTTCCTTCCTTTCTTCCTTCCTTCCTTCCTTCCTTCCTTCCTTCCTTCCTTCCTTCCTTCCCCCCTTCCTTCCTTCCTTCTTCCCTTCCTTCAATGACTTCTGTTACTATTCCCTAAGGTAAATGATTATATAAAGGAAAAATATGTATCTTAAGTCCAATTCATGGTTCTGGGTAGAAGGAAGAGGAAAGAAAATGTACCATTTTAATATTATACAGTTAAAGAAGAATGTGTGCAGAGCCGTTAATTTTTCCCTACATGTTAATATACACAGGGCGCGTGGTTCACATGGAAAATGTTTTTCCCTTCTCCCTTTGGGCTTAGAGGTGGTGTCAGCACCTTTCTGATCTGTGCTTCCCACTCCCACTCATTCTCTCTTGTTACACCCCTTTGACTTAGAGACTTATGCCACCATGCAACATGCAACATGACTTACTGCCGTCCATCATCGTCCTCTCCCTTCCTGTAGCCCCTGGCTTATTGTCACTGCTCCCTGTGGGCAGTCTGATAATTCCGGTAAAGTAACTCATGGATCCTCGGCTCTTTAACCCAATAACTTTTCTCTCCACTCCACTGCAAGGTATGACATCAAGGTGCAAGGTATGAAATCACTGGTCATACCTTGCACCTTGCTACTCTTTATAACAAACTTAGGCACCTAACCCCTCTTTCTGACCACACTGCAGTATCTTTTAACTATCATAAGTGTGTACTTTCTGAAATACACTTCCCAATTCTTGGGGACCACTACTAATGATTTTGTCACTTTTTTACACAGCCTGGACAACATGATTGTTACTCTGCTCTTCTGTCTTTCCAGCCCCTTAATTGTGTTAAAATCTACTTCCAATCCATCCCATCTCTGACAAAACCCAAACTCGAGATGGATCCAACCATCCATTCTACATCTTCCCATATGTGTGCACAAGAAAGATGATGAAGAACTTGCTGATGTATACTGATATATATTTATGATTTCCATACTCAAACTAGTCACACGGTGCCACATTTTTTTTCCTGAATTACAGTCAGTGTATTTTTCCTATTGCCATTTGTTATTGTCCTAAGTCATCACCATTTTTCTCAAGCCTATTCCCAGCCCTTATTTCTTCTGTTCTCAGTGGATAACTTTATTCATAAGTATAAGGGGAAAAACATTGAAGGCAGTCATAACATGAAATACCTGCCTCTCAAAATCTCCTGGTTTTTTTTTTTATTCTTTTCATGTCACCAGTCATCAGTCACTGGAAGTAACTGTTGGGGGAGTTTATTTGCCTTGTATTTCTTTGATGTTTTTTGCACCATTGTTTTCTCCCATTTCCAACCTCTCGGTTGAACACTGACTATCTCACACCCACCCCACTGAAGTAGGCTCCTAACTCTGTCTCCTGATTCTGGCATTTTATCTCCCCTAGACATCCGACTTGATTTTAACTTATTAAAAACTTAATTGTCATGTAGAAAGTTATTACACATTGAAAAGACTCATACTGTCTATCCAACTACTTTAGACATACCTCTAAGTCAATATATTTAATTTCCTAAATTCTGTACTGAACTTTGCTTTAATTTAATCTTATGTTACTTTGTTCATTTGCATGAAACAGTCAGCAAGCACACTGCCATATTCCACACAAAGTTCATTCAATCAAATGTCAAATCAGGTTTATGGTTATTACTCATTTTGGAATTTATTTTAAGCCTGCTATGTGACAGTTATATTTATGAGAAGAACTGTAATTACAGCTTATTATAGTTATTTTAAAGCTAATTAACTTACAAAAATTACACACCGTAAAAAAACACTTTTTTATTTTTAAATTTTTATAAGTTATTTTATAATTATTTAAAACAAAAG